TGTGTACAACCCCACCCCCCCCGCCCCATCCCCCGGCCGCTCCTCCTCGCCAGCCAGCCCAGGGCCATGCGCCCATGCCCTGCATCGCTCCCAGGTGTGGGCAGGAGGACTCAGCTCCATCCCCACGCCCGGCTGGGCTGGCCAGACCCCGCGAATCCCCTCGTACTGGTGTGGTACCTGCTGTCGTGCCGGCGGCCTCGCTGGAGCCCGTGTGCTCTGGCCCTGGGGAGCGGGTCCCGGGCAGGGCTGTGCTGCCGGGTCGGGGTTCCTGGGCTGCGTAGGCGGCTGCTCAGAGGCTGCGAGCGAAGGAGAGAGTCAAAAAAATCCCCTCGGTGACTTCCTTCCTGCCCGCAGCCTCCTCGGCGGGTGGCTTCCTGGCCAGGGAGGGGGTACGGGGTGGGGGGCAGAAAGGAGCCACCCCAGGGTGCAGGGACCAGCTGGGGGGGGTGAAGGAACAGGGAGCCCCGGGCATCCCACTTGGTGCTGGGCACCCCAACGGACCCGGGCACCTTACTGGTCCCGCTGCCTCCTGGTGCTGTGGGTGCTGCAGGGCATCCCAGCCCCCGTCCTGTCCCACCCCACTGCGTGGGGCGAGGGGCTGGGTGCTGCCCACACACCCCTGCTCCCCCTGCACCGCATTGCTGGGACTGTCCCTGCCCCACTCTCGGCCCCGCCGGGACGGGCTCAGCCCCTTCGCCCCCGTCCTGCCCCCGCCAGCCGAGCCCCAGGGTGCCACCGGTGCCGCTGCGCCTTCGGGGCCACCATGGGGCTGGGTGCGTGCCTGGCCCTGGTGCCGTGCGGCGTCGCACGCACCCGCCGGCGGATGTGGCCGGGCCCAGCAGCCACCGCTCGTTGTTTTTCCCCTTTCTGCTGCTCTTAACCAGCTCGGCAAGGAGGCAAAGCCGGAGTCGAGGCAGGGAGGGGGGTCCTGCCCAGCCCTGTCCCTGGGGACGGCTGCTGGGGATAAGGCCACCAGGGCTGGAGCCAGACCCCGGGGACCAGGGACCCTCCTCTGCCCTGCAGTGATGACTCGGAGGGGACAGTGCCAACTCCGTCCCCATGTTGGGGCTCTTCCCTGGTCTCAACCCCAGGCTCGTTCCCAGGGTTCAGGGCAGGGGGAGGAAATCCCTGTGGGACAAAGGTGTCCAGGGGCCGGGTGAGACAAAGCCGCGTTTGTGCCAGGGAATGAGGAAGCCAGGCCAGCCCCACACCCGGCTGCCACGTCTCCCAACAGACGGAGCTGTCCTGCCGTCCCTGCCCTACCCGTGCTGCCTGCTGGGGTACGGGGTGCCGTGTGTGCCACCACTCGCGGCGGCCCCGGGGTTAGCCGGTGTCGGGGCGTGCGGGAGGGAAGGGGTTATGGATGTGGCCCCCGACGGCTCTGTCCTCCCCGCCGAGGGTCCCTCCCTGACACGCTCTGCCCCCCCCGCCGAGGGTCCCTCCCTGACACCCTGAACCTGCCTCCTGCCAGCGCCCGCCTCGCGGGCTGGAGAAGCTCGAGGCTTGACCAGCCCCTTGTCGCGGCCCCGCTCGCC